GAGGGGTGGAGCCTGACAGTGAGGGGGGTGTCTGAGCAGGAGGGGTGGAGCCTGACAGTGAGTGGGGGTGTTTGAGCAGGAGGGGTGGAGCCTGAGAGTGAGGGGGGGTGTTTGAGCAGGAGGGGTGGAGCCTGACAATGAGGGGGGGTGTTTGAGCAGGAGGGGTGGAGCCTGACAGTTAGTGGGGGTGTTTGAGCAGGAGGGGTGGAGCCGAGTTTATTTTTCATGTGGTGCAGCTTGGCGGGCCTTCCAGCTAATGCCATCGAGATACTCAACAAATCAGAATATCACCCCACAGTCCCACCCCCACACCCAACACAAATCCTTCTTCCATTCTCATGCCTTCCCTTCAGTATGTTTATGCCTGCAGATAAACTCATGGTTGTGATAATAGCTTGCTACAGAAGGGGAGCTGCCAGAGCGGATCAGGGGTGCAACCGCTGGTGATGACTGTCAGGAATACACTACAAGTTAGTCCAAGGAGTTACTCCAAGGTGAGTCGTTTTTCCCGTCACACCCCTACACTGGACCTTTAGGTTTCCCCACCTGTCAAATCCCACCTTAGCCCTTGAATACAGCAGTTGCCTTAACGTCTTACAAAACAATATACAGTGAAATGTTGCAATGTATGCTTCACAGCATGTTATGGAACTCTTTCTAAAGCATCCCAGCTTACGTTACACTATTGTTAGCCTCTAGGGACAGAAAATACATTTGCCGCACTGGAAATGCAGCTGGTTGTTCCTGTGAAGGAATTTTCTTTTCCCCAATAATACATAATGCGATAGAGGTGTCACACTTCGGAAGTGACACACTTGGCCTCCGAAGCTGATCTGCACCTCTGTCTTAGACTAAAGTGATCCCTTTGCTGCCATGTTTTTTAAATGGTCCCAACCAAGCCTGGTTGTCTCATCGTTTCACTGTAAGTTTTAAGCAAATAGATTTTGGGGACTGAGTCTGTTGTGTCGTCTGCTGAGCGTTACAGAGCGTCCTAAGCCTTTGGCTTGACTGGGTCGGGGCCCCCGAATACTGATCATGAACTGTTTGAGATACGGCAGACCAGCCCGAGCAGAGAAGCTTTTTTGTCCTGACAGCATCTCAAATTTGATGCTGAAACAAAGCAGTAAACAGACAGCAGGGCCCAAGCTAAAGGGATTTTTATCTATCCCAAGCCGTGGGCTACCCTCATGATTCCTAACCTCTAGAACAAATGATCCTTATCTTCAAGAGCACAGACAAATTCCATCATAGCATCCATGAAAATACCAGTCTAAAGAATCATCTGCAAAGGCTGCTCTGTCACACTATAAATATGAACATTTTATTAACATCTCATATGATATAACAAGTTCCATTTTTTAAAATCATTAGGTGATGCAGAGTGCCTAACCTATTTCAAAGGAAATTTCATAAATCAAGTATAATATTTAATTCTGGATAAAGGAACTTATCAGCTTGCTTCACTAGCTATTAAAAAAAACAGGAGCTCTGATAACTAAAATATGCAATAGTGGATTAGCTTGTGAACTTGGCAAGCAGTGAATGCTATGATTCTCTCACAGTGAATCCGCTAAAGCCATTGCCTGTGAAAGGACCAAGTGCTGCATCATACTCTAGCTTAGTGTGTACGAGTCAATCAACTAACCCAACCCACCATAGATCAAAAATGAGGTGCTCTCTCATGGAGCAAAGTGTTGATGCAGGAATGCTCCATCACCAAAAGGCAGAACTTACCTTTTCCTCCATCCTGTTCAGCCTGGAGCCAATGGTGTTATTCCCTCTGTTTCTAGTCCTCTCTGCACCGGCAAAGAAAGGCCGTTTGAATAAGCCGAGACGTGACAGCCAACAACCGAGACAGTATGGAAAGTTCTGTGATCAGGTGCCATGTCGGCATCCCAGCATGTGGCAGAAAGGGAAAGATTCCGAAAGAGAGGGGAATGAGAGACAGACAGACACAAAGAGACAGACAAACAAACGGACAGACAGGCAGACGGACAGTAAGATAGGAATAAGCTGGGCAATAAAAAAATACAAAGAACACATGCCTGAGACCACATCCTGAAGCACGTTTCTGAAAGGTTTGGCGGGGGGGGCTTGAGGCAGCTTTGATGTTTTGTGGGACTGCCTACTATGAGGCCAAGTACAGCACTCCCCAGGAAATGGATTTAGTGTGATTTTTGGAAGATCCGCAATATTCTGAGGTGCTGGCAGAAAGTGTCTGATGGTACAGTTCAGCAGCAGGGCAGACAAGGGCGAGTGTGTGAGAGAGAAGGAAAACAAACAGTCAGAGGAAGTAGAAAACCAACTCCTGAGGTCAGGAGAGAAAGGCAGGGAGTGTAAACGTCCAGCCTGTACATCCGCTGATGGTGGGTTCATTAGTATATCAGTGCTCAGGGCAGAGACCGAGTCAGCATCTGGGCAATCAGTCAGTGTTTGGCCTGAGTGGAAATTGGTTATTGATTGAGTCTGGAGTACTGTGGCTTCTCCTGACTGCAGTCGCCCAGCATTGCTCATACACACACCCCCTGAATCAGGTACAAGAATCTACCTGAGCTGCTCTGAAATAAGCTCAGCTTCCCCAAGGAATGGTCAAGCCTGTAAAGGTAAACATAAAGACACCCAGTTAGGGTCCAGCACATGGAGATACTGGGCCCCTGTTCAGGGACTAATTATAGTTACTAAAAAGGCAACGTGACAGAGGAGCAGACCTTCCACAGCAGCCATCTGCAGGCCGCTGAGCTCACCTCCTCTGGAGCTCCTTGATGCGCACCATGAGGTTTAGATGTCCCTGTGAGTACTGCTCCATCACGTCCCGCACGTCGTAAGGCTTACGCGCTTGCTGCAAAACACAGCCAGATAGCATTACTCCTCTGCTCATGCTCTGCCCGTACCTACGTTCACGCCCATGAGGACTATGGCAATCATTAGCCTCCTATGATGTACCACAACATAAATAATAAACAACAGCACATCTTAATGTGCAATTAAAACTGATTTAAATTAGTCCTTACAGGAACTAATTGAACCCAACTGGCCCAAAAGCGATTAAGAATTGCTCACTGCCCTCATTTTACTGCAAGGTTTGCTAGTAAACCAGAACGAGGTGGCACAGGCTTGCTTTGTTTGACTTAATCTCAAGTAGCTGTGCAACGTGAAGGACAAGTGTGAGGTCATGCTTCTGCTACAGGGCCCAAGTGTTTCCAAACCAGGGTGGGCCTCTTAAACGCGCTGTACTTAGAAGGAAAAACAGCACTGCCGAGTCAAAGGCAAACACTGTAGTCACGTCTGCTGTTAGGCAGCAGCACCTGACCACCTGTCCCGCCACATGCTTAGTCATCCCTCCGCGTCTCACATAGGTGTGAAGCAGAGACGATAAAGGAAAACCGCAGAGGGCTGTAACTAACAGTTTGCTCTTTATTTAGTATTGACAATCCTGTACTTCCCATTAAACACATGGCACCTTCGAGTTCATTACACACAGACTAAGGAAAACCTATTTCGATTTTTGCTTTTCTCTCTTCTTGCAATGATACCTTTCACCTTCACTCACCTGAAATCTCTTCTTGGCCAAAAAGAATCTCATCTTCTGGATTATACAGATGGCAGTTCGATGGGAGTCCCTCAACCTGTCAATTCATAAGGGACAGAGATTAGCTGCCTCTGAACCACCCCCACTGCAAGCCTGTGTACCACCTCTGCACTTGATAAACAGTGACCATTTTGTGATACAGACACAGACCTTTCGAGAACTTGCAGAATCTCAGTCCCCTCATACAAACTAGTACAGAAGATGATTGTAAAAAATCCCCAGACCTCAGTGGGACATCCAAAGAACTGGTGAGGATCAACCTAATCTAAGTGTATGTAGCGTTTTATAGTCCACTATCATCATCATAAACTTCAAATACTAGCTCCAACTGAAGTAGAGCAGCAAACCTTCCCATTGGGGGGGCACATCTGTGTGTGGGCTGCTGGGAGGGGAGGGGTTTAGATCTGCAGCAAACACTGTGTTTGCACAGGTGTGTGACAGAAAGGGGGAAAACACGCTCGGATTTCTGCCTCTGGAGTGATTATGAAAAGCAGTGACCTGCAGCTCATCCCATCTGCATGACACATCAGGTGCCCGCTCAATCGCTGCTCTGCAGCTGGTGGCCAAAGCAGAACCTCTGCAGAAGCACACAGACACTTTTGTGTTTCTAGCACTAAAGTAACCAAAATGAATTATCAAGCACAGAGATTCCTTAATGGACTGCAGTTAACTCAAGCAGGACCACGCTTCCCTTGAAGGGCGCGTCATGGTTAAGGTTTCTTAATGCGGCTCATTTCCATCGGTATAACAAGAGGAGAGCTCAGTGGAGTGCGTCGCTGACACGCAGCACAGCCGCGCAGCACAGCCACATGCTGCGCCCCCAGCTCTGTCAGCGCTGGGCCGTCCTTCCTCCCCCCATCAGGACATGGGCCACTTTGCTCACCATATGCCGTTTTATTGTTGCTCCATAACAGGGGTCATTGTGCACATGATAATGCAGATTCCCTGTCTGGCGGAGCCTCTGACGGCTTCATTAATTTCAGCAGGAAGCTCTCTGGCTGTTTATGGTTGCTGTGCCAGTCCAGCTGCATGGCTGGATAGCTCCACATCAAAGGATCATCACTCTGTGGACAGGCTGCTACAACACGTCGTGTGAGAGGGGAGAAGTACGGGGACTCCAGCGATCTCTCTGGCCTGTTATCCGGACAGGAAGCCACTAATTCTGCAGCTCCTTCAGGCAACTTGCCAGACAGAGTTTGTCAATTAAGAACTTGGCTGGAAAGATCTCCCTCACACCCGCAGGCTCTTCTGGTCCAGCATCGCTGACTTCTGACATCAAGACCACTGCTTGGCTACACTCCTCTTCCTACCCTGTGGCCAGATTTACAGCAAAGCTGGAAGATAACAAACAGACCACACACAACGACTCCTGCACGCTGGCTGACACACAGTACACTGACTCACACTTGACAGGTGTGCAAATCACTTGCAGGAGAAACATATGGGTATGAAACCAGCTTCTGTGAGCGCGGCATCTGAGCCTCCCATCCGGGGCTAGTGAGGAATCTGGAAGGCGTTCTGTGAGCGCGGCATCTGAGCCGCCTACCCGGGGCTAGTGAGGAATCTGGAAGGCGTTCTGTGAGCGCGGCATCTGAGCCGCCTACCCGGGGCTAGTGAGGAATCTGGAAGGCGTTCTGTGAGCGCGGCATCTGAGCCGCCTACCCGGGGCTGGTGAGGAATCTGGAAGGCGTTCTGTGAGCGCGGCATCTGAGCCGCCTACCCGGGGCTGGTGAGGAATCTGGAAGGCGTTCTGTGAGCGCGGCATCTTAGAAAAGATATTCTTGCCAAAATTAACCTAATATTGATCATTCAGGTTTCAGCAGGGTGGATGAGGGCTTTTGGTTAGAGCAGATAGTGCGGTGGCTGAGCACATGGCTTCACCAGCTCAAGTCCCACGAGGAAGATTACTGCAGTAACATAAGCCGTAAAAAGGCAAGTGATGCAGCCAAAGCAAAGCTGGCGGGCCCCAGCTCCTCCTGGGGGGGGATGTTAAACACTGTAAGCACTCGCAGCAGTGCGCTTCCTGCTCACACTTACGTCTCCTGGCTGCCTTTTTCACACCCTCCCTAAATGAACATTATGCGGCTTTTGGCCTGCAGCCTGACCCAGCTACCGGGGGCGGCCCGGCAGCCCCGTGCGAACGCTTCACTCCCCATGCAGGTGTGCATGACGGCGTGGTGTCATGCATCACCACGGCTCGACAAGCTGAGGCTGCATCCAATTAACCCCCTTCTCAGCGTTGCCCCAGCCCCCGACCCTCCTCACCCCCACCATTAAATTGCCTTTGTATGCACGTCACTCAGCATTCTGATAAATTGCATTTTATTGCATCTGGGTCAGGGGGTTAGACCTATATTACCATATGTGGTGTGCCTCAGAAAAAAAAATCCTCCTCACAATGTCTAGGCAATTTTGTGGAAATTATCACAGCGATCCCGCAGCGCCAGACAGCTGTATCACTTCCAGGTCCATTTACATCCCAGTGGGTCCTGGTTTTCTTAAGGAGCCTCCAAACCAGACAGAAATTGCACCCCACTGCTGATACAAAAGTGGGGGGAAGCAGTGTAAAGTGATGGACTGTATGAAGACCGGCACATGTCCGTATATAATGCTCTATATCCTCCACATTAATAACAATAACGTATAACACATTATTTTGTTCCAAAATAGCTACATTTCTCAAAGACACAAACGACATATGAGAAGACGCTATGCTGACGGCTGACAAATGCCAGGGACAGCAAATGGCTTGTTAGCACAAAGACGGTGGGAGGAGGGTCATCATTTTCTGCAGCACTTTCTGTGATTACATCCTGGCTCTCCTGGACATTTGGAATTCCACTGGAGTGTGTTTGAGTCAAGTGGCGGGGGGGGGGGGGGGGGGGGACATGGGAATAGACCCATCTGTCTGCGGCTGTAGCAATGCTTCCTTTCCCAGCCTGGGCTTGGCGCTGCCGAGAGGTCCCATGACCCCTGTGGGTCACCATCTGCTCGTCAGCCTGGCACGTTGCCTGCCTGCCTGCTAGTCTGTCTGACCCTCTGTCTGTCTGCTTGCCTCTCTGTCTGTCTGTCTGCTGGCAGCCTGGTATGCTGCCTGCCTGCCAATCTGTCTGTCTGTGTCTGCCTGCCAGCCTGCCTATCTGTCTGTCTGCCTGCCTGGCACACTGCCTGCCTGAAGAGTGCAGCCTCTACCAGAGCCCCAACCAGATGCTGGACAGCTCCGCTGCCTGTCTGTCTGTCTGTCTGTCTGTCTGTCTGTCTGTCTGCCTGCGGCATTTCCTGCCTGCAAAGCACAGCCCATACCGCAGCCTGACCCAGCTGTAGGACAGCTTCACTTTCTGCCTGTCAGCATGGCATGCTGTCTTCCTGCTTACCTGTTTGTCTGTGGTATTTCATGCCTGCAGAGCACAGCCCCTACCACAGCCCGGCTCAGCTGCTGGACAGCTCCACTGCCTGCCTGTTTGTCTGCTTGCCTCATTTCTGGCCTACAGAGCACATCCCCTACCACAGCCCTGCCCAGCTGCAGGACAGCTCCGCTGCCTGCCTGTCTGTCTGCAGGGAACAGCCCCTATTGCAGCTTGGCCCAGCTGCTGGACAGCTCTGATGGCAGTTTCAGCTTTTGGCAGCGAGATGCTTCTCATTAGCAGGTAGTAAGACAGGGAACATGCTACTCAGTAGCTCTAGCTTTCACTCCCGCATGCAACCTGTGACTTTCACCTGTCAACTTATTATTTATTCACTCATTAACATTCACCACAGACCAAGGTGCTACTGACTTGGTTTAAACTTTCATGTTCGACTTCCATGTTCAGTGTACAAGTTGTTCAAAAATTAGTTGCATTTATTCCCCAGATACGATGGTGGGCTCCCAGTGGGGGCTTTGGTTGAGGTGTGATGGAAAGTAATCGCCACACACTAACAGGATAATGGTCCTGCATTCAGAGTGCCACTCGAGCTCTTCCTCTTTGGATCTACAGTCATTATCTTAATCTCTGGTGGAGTGAGATCTTATAAAACAGCCGATATCAGCCAGACATCATGCCAAAGCTGCTTTCCTGTGGTCACCTACTTTCTATTGAAGAATAAAGCGGGGGGAGGGGGGGGCGTAACAGCCCAGACTCTCTCAGGCAGCTCCTCTCTCCTGACAAACACCCCCCCCAACCCCCACCCCACTGTGTGGAGGGCCAATACAGGCCAATGCTGCGCACGCAGACTGTGCCAAACAGTAGCCTCTGCCTGTCCAGCTGGGTGGTCTCTGTCGAGCCACTGGGGTCAGGTGCCAGCTCAATGCCGATCGGGCCACTCGCAGAGCCACATCTGGCTCCGTCGCCCAATGACAGCGTCTGGGCTGTGCCGCGTCACACAGAAGGCGCACCTGGGCTTTCACAGCCTGCCGCAGGGCTAATTTGGATAGGCGTAGTGGATGGCTAATGGCCGGAGCTGCTGGATTCAGGGGAGACAAACGAAAGCTGTGCCTCTGCTCGTGCTCAGGCTCAGGAGAGGGTCGGGGGCTTGAAAAAAGGGTGGAGAGACAATGCAAAGCTGTACTGCTACTCCATGATAGTCGCTAGGCGACCTGGGAGCCCCCACTGCTGCTATGGGCCAAAGAATACGTGTCATCAGGGTAACGGATGGGGAGGCGGGGGCTACTACAGGCCCACAAAAACTCATGGCAGCTTCTGTGAATAAGCCCCATTGTCCCCCGTAATATTTCTAGGGACATTATGCCTCAGCGCTGCCAGCGGGGGCCGCGGCATAGATGGGGACAGTGAGAAAGAGGAGGAAAACAGGCGGATGAGGAGAGGAAATGGAGGGCTGCCCTGGACAGCCAGCCTGCACTGCCAGCACCTGTGAAAGTTCACAGCCACTCATCAGCTCCCTGAAGTGCCCAGCAACACCCAGCAGCTCCCACCAGTGCAGAGCAGCTCCCAACAGTGCCTAGCAATGCCCAGCAGTGCCCAACAGTGCCTAGCAGTGCCCAACAGTGCCTAGCAATGCCCAGCAGAAACACCCAGCAGCTCCCACCAGTGCAGAGCA